TCTCCTCCTTCCCTCCCTCCTCCTCCTCTTCTCTCCCTTTTTCTCCCTCCTCCTCTCCCTTCCTTCTCTCTCTCCCCTCCTCCTTCCCTCCCTCCTCCTTCCCTCCCTTCTCCTTCCCTCCCTTCTCCTTCCCTCCCTTCTCCTTCCCTCCCTCCTCCTTCCCTCCCTTCTCCTTCCCTCCCTCCCTTCTCCTTCCCTCACCCCTCCTTCCCTCCCTCCTCCTCCTCTTCTCTCCCTTTTTCTCCCCCCTCCTCTCCCTTCCTTCTCTCTCTCCCCCCTCTCCCCCCCTCATTTCCTTCCTCCCCCCAGCTCAGCTGCAGGACTCTCTGGCCCGCACTTCGGCACTGCCTGCGCCACAACCTCCGCACCCTGCGGCTCCGTGGCGCTCTGCGTTCCGCCACCAGACGCCGCCTGCTGTCCCCAGCTCTGCTCTCCGCCCTGACCGCGCGCTGCCCTCGCCTCCAACTCCTCTCCCTCACCGAAGCCGACCTCCGTACGCTGCCTTACGACAGCCTCCCCCCTTCCCTCATCGCTCTGGAGCTGCGTTGCTGCGAAATCCCCTCGCCGTGGTTCTGTGGATCCGCCGCCCCGCGCCTGCAGCGCCTCGAGCTCCACAACGTCCCCGCTTTCTCCGACCTCCACCTCCTCAACGTCTCCTCCCACGGCCGCCTGAGGGCGCTGAGCCTTTCGGGGACGTACCGCCTGACGGACGCGGGGTTGGAGAGGGCAGCTCCACACCTGGAGGAGTTGGAACGCCTGGAGCTGCGCCACTGCGTCCTGAGCGACTCGGCCCTTCGCTTCATCGCCCGCCACGCGAAACGGCTCCGCGTCCTGGGCATCGCCTCCATTCCCCACCTGACGGATTCGGGGTTGGCTTCCATAGCGACCCTGGAGCTCCTGGAGACGCTTCGCCTCAATCTGGACAACAAATTGTCCCTCGGCGCCGTCGCCGCCTTGTGCCGAGTTTTGCCCCGGCTGCGGAGCCTCACGTTGGATGGGGTTCAGTGCGAGGATGATGAAACCGTGGGCGAAATTCGGGCGGGTGTGCCGTGCTGCAGCTTCACACCCCCTCCCTGACCCCAGGTTTAAATCCAGGTGAAGGGCTGCAGCCCGAGGGCTTCGCTTCATCCCTCCCCCACGCGCTGCTGTATGGGGGAAAGGCCTTTTCCACCTCTTTTTGGGGGAGGTTTGGAGGAGGACCGCAGCAGTCGTGAGCCGCGCTGTGGGATCGGTTGCAAACTGGATTTGCTCTTCTACCCCGGGTCAGGAAAGATGGTGAGCACCCAATTTTGCCTCCTGAGTGAGCAGGGGGAGGGCGGGCGGAACGGATGGTGTGTTTGGGACCAAAACAAAACCTTTCTCTGCTCCTCTTCCTCCAGCTGAGCTCCAGTTAATGCCTGACTGGGGTTGCATCACTGTAAAACCACCTGGAAGAGCTGGGGCGATCTGCCCTGCGCGTTGCTGTCGCCGCAGCCCGGCTGTTGCATCACCTCTTCCTTCCTTTCACCTTTCGGCGTCTGAAGGGGGTTGGGTTCTTTTTTTGGTCCCCAAGTGTTGCTCCATCGCGGTGTCGTCGTCGTCGCGACGTCGCCTGGAGGACCCGAACCTATCTGATATCGTTATGCATTCAATAAAAAGCTCCTCTGCTTTAATGCCTGCGGAGCTTTAATTGAGCTCAACCAAACGAAGCCCGGCGTGGATACAAACACCAACCACCAGGAGCCAGAAAACCCCGCAGGGAAACCCTTGGATTTGTGTTTTCCCCCCCTCTGCCCCACTTACAGCTGTGGGTTGTGCAACGAGGCGCAAAGATTCAGGCAGACCTGGAGGGCAGCGACCCCTGTGATGAAATCCCGCGGCGCCCCGGCCTCGTTCTGCTCCTCTGCTCCTGTGCACAAACATCTGAGCGTGGCTCTGGGGGCAAATAAACAGTGGGAAATGCCCCAGTTCTGCTTGGAAAGGTTCCCAAGGCTGCCAGCTTCAGAACCGCTCTGTGTTTACGTGCACGGATTGACGATGGAGTAATTAAGTGTAATTAAGCTCAGTCCCGACGCTCTCCGGGCTCGGAGGGCGGAGGTAAAGCGGCGAAAGGGAAAATTAAATGGGCCCAAAATGGGGCTTCCAGCCTCGAGTGGGGAATGGAGACGTGGGGTGAAAGTGGGAATAACGGAGCAGAGGAGTCCTGTGAAGTCGTCCGCGGAGCTGAGCGATGGGTTTCTCTTCGTTCATCGATTCTAGGATCATTTTTGCTCCCTGGATGCCAACCTGCCCCATTTTTGGATGCAGGATTCGTAAATGGAGAGCAGCAGAACGCAGCAGATTGCAGGATGGGCTCCAGCCTCGAGTGGGGAGCGGAAATAAGGGGCGACCGTAGGAAGAGCAGAGGGGAGAGGAGCTCCAAAGTCACCCCAGCTTCCTGTGATCCATTTCCATTCGATTCTATGGTCATTTTAGCTCCCTTGATGCCAACCTGCCCCATTTTTGGATGCAGATTTCTTAAATGAAGAGCAGTAAATTGCAGGATGGGCTCCAGCCTCAAGTGGGGAGTGAAAACAGGGGGCGACCGTAGGAAGAACAGAGGGGAGAGGAGCTCCAAAGCCAGCCCTGCATTCCTGTGATTCGTTTCTATTCGATTCTATGCTCATTTTTGCTCCCTTGATGCCAACCTGCCCCATTTTTGGATGCAGGATTCCTGAATGGAGAGCAGCAGAATGCAGCAGATTGCAGGATGGGCTCCAGCCTTGAGTGGGGAGCAGAAATGCGGGGTGAATGCGGGGACAACAGAGCAGAAAGGCGCTGCAAAGTCATGAGTGAACTCATTTAGGCTCATTTGGGCTCATTTAGGCTCATTTAGGCTCATTTGGGCTCATTTGGGCTCATTTGGGGTCGTTCATTCATCCCACGGACCCCCAGTTATCCCCCCTCCTCATCCCCACGCATCCAATGAAGCACCTGAGCCGATGCCGGCGGCTCTTCTGCACCTCAGGAGCTTTTAGGGGGCCGTTTTGGGGTCTCCTCCTCATTTCCAGCCCCCCTTTTACTCCCATGTGTGACAGCTTGGATCGATTCCATCCCCCCTCCCAACCCAACCTGGATTTGCGCTCATGGCGCGGAATCGAAGCCTGAAAGTCACACAGAGGGGAAAAAAACCCAAACGCAAGGAACCTAAAACCAGAGAAAACGGCCCCAAAAAGCGGCCTGGAGAATCCTGAAGTCGTCGGTGGACGCTTTGTTATCAGGCAGCTCCTCCTGTACCCCAAAAACAGCCCCCATTTCCCAGGGCCGCGTGCCTGAGCCCCTTCTTTCGTGGGGCTTCGGCTTTGGGAATTCAGCTTTTGGGGGATCCAGGTTTGGGGCTTCAGCTTTTTGGGATTTCAGCCTTTTTGGGGCTTCAGCTTTTTGGGATTTCAGCCTTTTTGGGGTCTTTTGCTTTTTGGGGCTTCAGCTCTTTGGGGCATCAAATCTTTGGGGCTTCAGCTTTTGGGGGATCCAGGTTTGGGAATTCAGCTTTCAGGCTTCAGCTTTTTGGGGATCCAGCTTTTGGGGTCTTCTGCTTTTTGGGGCATCAAATCTTTGGGGCTTCAGCTTTGGGGCTTCAGCTTTTGGGGTCTTTTGCTTTTTGGGATCCAGGTTTGGGGCTTCAGCTTTTTGGGGATCCAGGTTTGGGGCTTCTGGTTTTTGGGGCTTCAGCTTTGGGATTTCAGCTTTCAGGCTTCAGCTTTTGGGGTCTTTTGCTTTTTGGGATCCAGGTTTGAGGCTTCTGCTTTTTGGGGCATCAAATCTTTGGGGCTTCGGCTTTTTTGGGGCTTCAGCTTTTTGTCCACGGGAATAAAAGAAGGAGAAGAAAAAGAAGAGCAAAAC